TGTAACGAGGCTATTGTCCGGCAAATCTTTACAATTCGTACATGTTAAAAGTTATTGACTTTCATTGAAAGAATGCCACAAAATGGCGGTTTGTTGACGTTGCCATGGCGATGAATATCAACAGATTTCAACGCATGACAATGGCGCTCGCGGTGGCTGACATGCTCGATTTGAATTTTTGAACGGACGGAGGCGACGTGATGAGCGCGCGAGCTTTTTTCCCACCGTGGTGTTCGTGCGCGGGCATAAAATATGAGCGCGCGGCTCAACGTGCTCCGCTCGAAACTACTGCGCGCGCGATATCAAAACTTCTTTCCGCAACCTTGAAGTCTCGAGAAAACGACCGAAAACCAACGAACTGCGGCTCTTACTTCCCGCCAAGATTATTACATGTGTATACAACCGAAATATTTAACAAGTCGATGAAAAATCTCTCCGTACATGAATATTTATTTAGTTGATTTACAGAGACAAGTAATATGTTTATTTTAGACAATGCGCAATAATTTTAATGTTTTGTTTCGAATGAAATCAAAACGGCACTTGGTAATGTGAACCGTGGGTTTTGATCGCCGTCCACAATATACGAGTACGACTGAAACGCGACGTGTACGTGAATACATGAGACACACACACATGTTGGGAATTTACGCGGTATTTCGTGTTGCCGGCTCACTGTTTACACAATTTCGCGTGTAACCTAAAATCGCGCGCGCCGGCCGTTATCGCGTATTCGTCGCGCGATGTTATTGCAAATGAAGGCTCGGATAACGCTAAACAACGCGATCCCGCGCTTCAATACTACACGCACACACATGCACAATCAAACACACTCGGCTCGCCGACGGAAGAGTCCAACTGGCACAACTTCGACTGGCGGCGAAAAAAAACCCGCCGCTTTTCGCGCAATTCCTAAATGAAAATCGGCCGACAATCGCCGCCACACGCACGGTGGTACTTACGTTTAGCGTTCCGGTGCGATTCTTCCCAATGTCTCCTCAAGTTGGCATCGAATTTTCGAAAATTATTCCCGCAACACACGATGGCAGAGATGACAGGCAGCACACACAGCAGAACGGCGGACCCGACCGAATGTACACAAACGTTGAAGGTTGTGTTGCTCGGCGCGCGGCGCGCTCGTCGCAAGAGAGGGATTCAAATCCGCACGCGGCGATTGGTGCGCGCGCGTCACGTGGCTTTTCCCGCCAGGCACCGATTGGCCGCCGGTCGGTGCGCCGGCCGCTCGATCGCGCACGGTCACCGCGACGTGCACATGGAGATGTATGAAACTTTTCAAATAATCACTCGGCGCAAAAAAACCGCCGCATGCAGCAAACTCACATGAATCGCAATATTTCGCCCGTAAAATTCTGCATTGATTAGTACCGCTTTCCACCCCAATCCTCCACACGCCAGCGAGCATTAGATCGACATTTGTTGATTTGTTTTTGCCGGGAAAACAAAATCCAACATGGCTTGCGCGCCGCTGGCTCGACAGCAAAGCGAGGCAACCAGCCGATCGCACTCAACTCAACAACGCTAAAATCGAATCAAAATTCATTAAAATCAGTGCATTTCCAGCATAAAATTTAAAATCAGGCACGAATTTCACGTGTGATTCGCATTTGGTTGAGCTTCGACGAAGAAGTCGTTGTTAAGTATTAAAATATCGATTTTATGTTGGGCTGGTCGTGGCGATGTTTGTAAACCGGACGAGTCCATGCCGAGCGCCGTCGAGGGGGAGCCGCTGCGAGTCGACCGCGCGACAGCGGTCGTTGCAAAGGCAACGAGCGAACACCACGCTCATCACGAACATTGAGAAAACCCTGAGCGAACGAGGGAGCAATGCACTTGCCGCACGCTGCGTGCGACTTGCTCTCGCTCACGTGGTTACGTTGCTCACACACGGCGTAGCGGAGGCGCTGGCTGCGCTCCGCGTGTTCCATTCAAAGCTGTTTTTAATGTGAACCATGTGAACTAATGATGGCGGCGGCCATTTTGTTGTAATAGGAATTTTAATGTCACTTTTTCGTTTAATCTTTTATTGCGTATATTCATATTTGATGTCCATAAAAATCAAAGCTAAAAGAGAAATACCAGTACCTGTTTTGGAGAATTTCAAGTTAATCCAGAATCATCGTGATACTGCTGTCTGACACATTGATTATCCATTGTATTTTTGTTTCCAACTTGATGAGTCATTCCTAAAAAATTAAATATAATTAAACAATTATTTTGACACCGTTCCAAACATATATCCGGGTATATCTCATGACAAAATGTGAACAAAAGGCCCTAAACTGAATACTTAATGTTTTTTTTAATTAGAAAAAAATGTGAACCAATTAATTAATTAGCTTTAAACTTAATTATATATTTAAAAAATGTTGAATACTCCCGAGATTCACAAGTTCACACCCACTTTGACAAGAATGTAGAAAATAATGTGCACTTAAACGAAAATTTACTATAAACACGTATTAATTAGAAATATCTAGAGTATTGGCATCAATACTTTGCATTGCAAGTGTTCCACGCGTACCAAAAATCATCCGCCTTTACGAAAGTCGATAATGTCCGCAATCCGCCCCCGAAACGCACGAAAATCGTTCAAAGTACTCACCAAGCTTTCATCCACCGCTTGCCAATGCTTTTCTTCGTGTTGGATTATATTCTTGATGATTTTCTCGACATTTTCTTGCGGTTTGCACGCGTAGTTCCATGACAAGTCGGTCGGTCGGTCGCGCAACCAGCTGTATGGCTTGGCTTGGTCGCGTTGACGCTTCAGCTTCGCTTCGTCGCTTCCACTTGGGGCATTCGGCGTCGCTCGTCATCTGTTCAGGCGGCGGTGCGCGCTTTCTTTCCGCCCGGTCAGCTGACAACCGCGTGCGCTGCGAAATTGAAACTTCAAGTGCGGTATTACATATTAGGCAACCCAATATACAAGATTTAAAAGTTACTTATTTTTAATCAGAACCACCTGAACCATAACATGAAAATTGAGTAAAAAACAAATGATTTGAGACATATTTTGTGTTTTAAATGATTAAATCCTTAAACATTAGCCAGGGCAGGAATAATTCTGCAGTAGATATCAATGCCGCGTAGGAAAACGTGCTTTTCCAAGTACTCGTCGTTGTCGTGCAGCAACACCGGCGTGTTGTTCATCGGCGAAAAACCGAGCGCAGGAATGTTGAGTTCTCGCAGGTAGCGACTGTCTGTACCTCCAGGGAAAATCATCGGCTTGATTTTTAATCCCCTGCAAATATTATTTTCATTAAATTTGACTTTTTTTGTTATGCAAACACTTACAAAGCGTCTGTGGCTTGCTTCATGGCAACCCAATACGCATTTTTATCATTCAGCTCAGTGGGTTTGATAATTTCTTCGAATTGTTCCTTTACAATTGTTACGTCTTTGCCGGCGGCTGCGCACCACGACTCAAAAGTTTTATACAAGTCCTTGGTGTTCATGGTGACTGGAATGCGGCAATCCATTGAGCACCAGAATTCTGGTGGGACAACATTGCTTTGTTTTCCACCCTATTAAAAGAAATAAATAAATTTAAAGAAATAATAACAAATTTTGATGTTTTATACCTGAAGAATGCATAAATTCAAAGTGAGGACGTCACCAATCGTCATTTCTGGGTTGTTTTCCAAAATTTTCTTTTGTTCCTCGCGCATGTCAAACAATTTATCCAAAATCACCCGCATTTTCTCACCGGCAGTATTTTCGTGCAGCAAAGAACCATGACCAGCTTGCCCGTTGCAATGAAACTCCAAATCTTTAAATAAAACAATAAAAAATTAATATAATGGACTTTTCATGGTCGCCATTTTGTTTTTTACTCACGCCATATAGCTCTTTCGCCATAATACAAACTGAACGTCTCATCAGGACTGGCAATACCTTCATCCAAAGAAAACCCAATATTCAAGTTTTTAAAATCCGCAGTGGTAACAAACGTTTTCATGCCATCTTCGCCACCGATTTCCTCATCGGGCACGAAACAAAGATGCAAAGTGCGCTTGGGTTTCCACGCGTTTGTTTTCAGGACACGAATAGCCTCGAGGTATTGAATACCCACACATTTCATATCCTGTGCACCACGAGCGAAAATCTTGCCATCGGCGTCCATATCGGCAGCAAACGGTTTATGTGTCCATTCTTCTTCGAAAACGGGCACCACATCCATGTGGGAATTCAGCAACACCGAAGTGAGGGATGGATCGGTGCCCTGCCATGTTATAACAACAACTGGCTTGTTCGGTTTGGCTGGGTAATACGTCTTCAAGGGTAAACCAAGCGAAGTTGCTTGTTTTTGCAAAAATGTAACACAAGGCACTGGAAATTCAAATTAATATCTTGTTACTATAGGCAACCCAATCAACATCAAACAACAGATTTAAATGTAATGCTGGCGACGTTGAACTTTGTAACAGCAAATAATTTGATAATTATACAATTTAAGTACCCAGCTATTTATAAAGCAAAATTTGTCGTTTAAATGCGTAAACTGTGCAATCAGAGCGTTGGTATTATTAAATATTTACGTAGGTTTAATCACTTGACTCGAAAGTGGAATAATTTGTGTCTGGTGACGCAAAAATCGACCATTTCAAAATTATCTTGGCATAATTAAAATGTTCAACATGTTTCTTTTGTTAAATTTGAAATTTTACCGTAATCAACATCAGGGTGAACACTTGGAATGCGCAGATACTCTCTGAAGTTGTCAACGGCAAGATCGCTGAGCGCCTCAGTGCGATTGGCTGTTGGCGAGGTCGTCATTGTCGCAATGGTCACAATTAAAAAAAATTAAAATTAAACCGATGCCTTGTTGTTCACGGCGAACGCAATAAACAAGCACTAATCATAGCGCACGATTGCGATCGCGCTTAAATAGTTCGCGCGCCGTGCGCGTTATCTGCGACTGACTAATCACCCACGATTTAAAGCCCGCCTGTCTTTTCTGGTGGGGTATAAACAATCTCAAACAATGTAGGTAAAATGTACGCAAAATTGTACATATTACGAATCATAGCTAAGCCCAAGCATGCGGTTTGCACGTATTGTTTGGTGAAAAACAAGAATTAACATGAAACAAACATCATTGGATAAGTAATCATTCGTGATGTTTTTCAGTGGTTTTGCGTTTTATCGTGTTTTACCGTGATATTCGTTTCAATAAGCCATGATTTGTGTGTTATGTTACATTATTTGGTGCGTGTGTTTTTGGTTTAGTTCTGTTTTTGTTAATTTTCGTCGTTGGCAATATCACCAAGTGAGGAAATCAACTTCATGTAGATTTCGATGCCGCGCAGGAACATTGATTCAGCGAGGTATTCATCAGTATCGTGCAGCAGTACGGGATGGTTGATGATGGGCGAGAAACCGAGCGCTGGTATGCCCATTTCGCGCAGGAAGCGGCTGTCAGTGCCACCGGGAAATATTCGCGTCTCAATTTGCAGTCCCCTAGCAGGAAACAATTCAAACAAACGAGAAAAATTAACCAATTGCCAACGCTCGAATGTATTTCTAAATACAACATAGGCAACCATACTTACATGTCATCCACGCTCTCCTTGAAACGCATCCAGTATGGATTCTCCTCAGATATATCAGTCGGTTTTGCATTTTCGAAACGTGATTGAACCATATAAATACCTTCGCCTGATTCTGCACACCAGGTATCAAGTGTTTTACTCCATTCATTAATGTCTGACGTTACCGGTATTCGACAGTCCATTGTCATAGTTAGTTCAGATGGAAGCACATTCGCCTGCTGACCGCCATTTAAAATGGTTACATTTACAGTCATTACATCACCGATGGTTAAATCTGGATCCGAATCGAGTAGCCTAACTTGTTCGGCACGATGTGCCATTATCTTCGACATGAGATTGTGCAGTTTTTCAGCAGCAGTGTCTTTCAATAAGAGTGATCCATGACCCGGTTGACCCGGACAATGAAAGGTCACATCTGCAAATATAAACACACAATAAGTAAATAATAATTAAATGATTCACTTGTTTACTTACGCCACATGCAGCGTTCTCCGTAGTAAACCAAAAATCTATCGTCAACGCTAGGTAATCCTTCATCGAGAGCCATGCCGATGTTTAATTCCTTGAAAGTTTTGCTTTTGACAAATTGTTTCATGCCAACAGCGCCACCTATCTCTTCATCAGGTACAAAACTACAGTGTATTGTGCGTTGTAACTGGACGTTATTCTCTTTGAGGCGACGGATGGCTTCCAAATATTGTATACCTATACATTTCATATCTTGTGCACCACGGGCGTAAATCTTCCCGTCGTGCACTTCAGCACCGAACGGGGGATGTTTCCATTCCTCCGGCATTACCGGAACAACGTCCATGTGCGAATTCAGCAATACGGAAGGCAAATTTGGGCTTTGGCCAAGCCATGATATGATTACAACTGGTTTACTTGCAACAGGTTCAATCACTTGTACAGGAAGTTTTATCTCATTGGCCAAACGTTGTAAAAACTCAACGCATGGTCCTAAAATAGAAATATAGAAATAAACACCCTGTATAAGTAAAATTTAAATTTAATTTTACATTTTCCTATGATAATTTTAGGTTATTTTATATTATTTAATAAAAATTTGTTATAAATTAAGCTAATAATTACCATAATCGATGTCCGGGTGGACACTGGGTATCTGTAAATATTCCCTGAAGTTATTTACGGCGATCGAATCTAAGTCTTCGGTGTTACTGGTCATTTTGTATATTTCAGTGGAGTACAAACATTTTGTATGGCAATCACCTGTTATACTGTGTGTTGATTGCACGCGACGTAATTATCAGCGCGATTAGAATGAGTTTTGGCTAAAGCTAATTCTGTCACGATGAGATGACACGAGTGACCCAAAAACAAGTTGTATGTATTTTTAGGTGTCGATTTTCGCACAGGCTGATACCCGTAGCGCCATCTATCATCAAAACAATAAGTTTCAAGAATACTTTCGAAACAGATTAGAAATCATTCCTCCCATAAATATTGTAGTCTCCTAACATTTCCAAAGATTGTTTAAAAATACATTGCATTGGTTTTTATGCTCCTGTGTTTGGTTTCTGCACTGCGCATGCGCCAACCACTGTTATCGATCCTAAGGGTGAATTTTCCATGCAGTGCTATCAGTCGTAGTCCTACCGCAAGGCAAAATGTACAAAATTGTGGTTTTCATCGGTTTTCTCTTGAATATTTTCGATTATTCCCACGGAGGAGTGTTAATATGGGGTTCAGAAAGTATCCAATTACCCTCATTGAAGCAATTCAACAATGAAGACTTTGATTTGCTGAAGAGTTACATGCGCCGCCCCAAAGTGGTTGTCTTCAAAGGTGATCCAATGCAAATCTCCAATGAACTTCAGAATCTTCTTCGGAATAAATACACTGCGTACGTCCCAAGCAGTAATTTAAACATCGACAACGTCATTGGTAACCATAATCAATTTACCTTATGTATATTGATGATTACATCCGCCATTTTTAATTTACAGAATTAAAAGGTGATGCCACATCAAATTTTAAACAAATCCAGGATACTCTGGATAACTGCAGTCGTGAATACGATAATATCTTGGCATTGATTCTTACCAATCACGAAGCAGCACCAAGTGCGCCTCCTGCTGCCAATCGACCAAAACGCGAAGCTTCCGATGAGTTCACCACTGAAATACCGGAAACTTTTACGACCATGGAAAACTATGAGCCTGTCACTGGCCCAGTGCTCTATCAAGCCTCCACGACCACTTCCGAAGTCGCCATGATTTATTCTTCAAGGACACCGGTCTTGAAAATAAACGCCACTAGTTATAATCTTGGTAAAGCCGCCGTGGCAACCGTAGATGATCGTGGTGATAAATATCGACAACTTAGCGTTACCATTCCGACGGAATCCGGTGATAAAGTCACGCTCAGATTTAAATTCCTATGGAATTCTGGGTACTGGTATCTTAATACCATTAATTTGTTGCTCATGTCCACGAAAACTTACACTTTGACAGTCGATAAAGAAGAAATCTCCGCAGCGAAATCATTTTCGTATCACTGCAGCGGCAATTCCGTGTTTCGCGAAGAAGAGAACGAGATTGAGTTGATGTTGTTCGACATTCAAGCTCAGCCTGATTCTCTCAAAGTTAGATTTAATGATGCTTACGATTGTGTTGATTTCACCACTGTTCCAATATGGTCCGGGTTGTTTATCGTGTCGTTGTTGTTGGTGGCGCTGGCAATTGGTCTAGGCGCGTTGAACAGCATCAAAACGATGGATAAATTCGATAACAGCAAGACAAAACAGTTGACGATCACCACCGGCGAGTAGTAAACACGCACGTTTTAAAATCCAAACACATATGTCACACTCAAAGTCTCAAAACAGCTTAACTTGTTATAAATACTATGAGAATAAATACTCGTTAACAATATGTACACTTGAAATTTGGTTTCACTGCGAGCAGTAAGATGGCAGCATGAGTTGTGGTATTCCGGTGATGAGTGGTTGATTTTTATCTTTTGGGCACACAGATAACCTATAAACATAACCTATGAACATCTAAATAACTTGTTATTATTTGTATTTACCTTTCTTTTGGGTTTAAACTTTCCACTTTGATTTTTGCAAGGTGTACCCTCGGCGAAGCCAATAAACGCCATGTTAGTGGGTTAAACACATTACTGTGGTAATCCCACTCAACTTCTAATCCTTTCAAGTGTAGAGTTTTATCCATTGACACAATTTCTGTGTATAATTTGCCTGGTTCGTGATATCCGCCTTTGTTTAATGCAACTCTATTTGTTTTTAATCCGCGCATGTCTGTTGAATCATGAAGCACAAACCAGAGTTGACCGATTTCACCCCCGTGTTTTTTACTTTCAGAAGAATCAGATACTTGCACGGATAGTTTGTAATGTTCTTCTAAATAAACAAAAAAAAAACAGTTTTAAAGCATAGGCAACCCAAATTACGTGTTTATACTTACTGCAAAATGGCTGCGCATCTGCAGTACGAAGATACAATACATAAGTACGCCTTTTACTAATGATTTTCTTTGATAGGAGTTCATCGTATCGTTTCTTGCTGTTGAAACCCATTGGCATGCAAAATTGGCCCTTGGTTTTACACTCGAAGCATTTCCAGCGACAAAATCCTAATTTAAAAATAGGCCAAATGACATGCATTACATTATTATTTAATAGATAATTACATATGTTTTATAAAAGCTAAACTACCTATAACTAGCGCGCAAGTAATTCCATAAAACGAACAGTTACTATTGATACCTCCGTGAAGTACCTGATAACCTGGATGTGATTACAACCCAAGAACTTTTGCATCCAAATAAACTACCACCGTTTTCAATCGCGAATTCCGTCACGCTTTTTATCATTAATCCGGGTTGATCAGTGCCGCCATTCGTGTAGAAATCAACATGGCCGATCGCTTCCGTCATACCGAGGCCAGCAATACGTAACCGGAACGTAGCGGCAATACCGT